GGCAATGGATATCTGCTATGAAAGGGATGGCAAACATTTGGTTCACAAAAACTGTTTCGTGAATTGTATTCAACAAAAAGGCAAACATTTGTGTCCGAAGTTAGAGACCAATCAAATCCGTGTCGAGAATTCAATTGTAGGCCTCTTTGCAAGAATTGAATTCATTTTATGGCTACTTATCAACGCTTTCCTACCATTTGTTGGCATCTCTTCCAACACAAGAACTCTTTGTACTGAAGGCATGACTCAAATCATTTCAATTGTAACCAATAATCGCAGAAATGATGGACAGATAAGTGTTTGGGATTTTGGCTCAAAGTTTGCGATGCCTTTCATGTCAGTTGTCTTAACGTTCAGACAATTACACAAATTCTGGTCGGAGTTCAAGAAGCGGTCAAATGTTAAGCTTATTATCACTTTTAGTCACCAAATATAAACTGCACTATTTTATGCTATTGTATTTCACATCAATAAAATTCATTTATTTTTAAACATTGACTTAAACTCTTAAATAAATACTAATCTTTATATCCTTTTTCTAGAAATAAACCAATATTTGTGTTACTAATTAAAATGAACATGTCCAATTTCACAAATCGTCAACCTAATATCGTTTTCCAAAAGTGTCATATGTATGACATTTCGCATGAATCGCCTATTTTAATGGATTAATGATTACTGTCTGTCAATAAATAGCTAATCATAATATAATCTCGTATTTCTATCCCATATCTAATCTCTCATCTATGAGTCATATATTATTTTAGTGGGAAATCCAGTGGTTGTAAGCAATGAATGCAAGAATATCTCATTACAAGTGAATGAATGGCAAGTTTGCGAACCCATGCCATTGCCACCACACATACCGACCCCCACACTGACCCCTTACCTCTTTATCACCACATTATATTGACTCACATTGTTTGCAATGAATTGGTTTGCAATGAATGCTACAATGAATTGATGCTTCTGTGCAGTGAATTGTCGACAAAAGGCCACAACAGAGTCATCCCATCGCACTCCCCTGACAGACAGACATCACGTCGTCTATGAATGGCAACAAAGAGTGAAATCTTTTCGTCAAAGCTTTTGATTTGATTGTGCGTTGAGTTGATTGTGTCATCCCTTCACCCCTTCAACCCCTCCACCCCTCCAACCCCTCATCCCTTCACTCAATCGCCATCTCATCGCAAGACAAGTGACTCGTGATTATCGGTTCAACAGATCAGCTCTGCTCTGACGACAGCACATCGTGTCATGTCTTACACCCACGACAGACATAGCAGTGAGTCGGCCATCAAATGCCACTTTCCTTACAAACCATTCAATGTATGTGATTATCGGTTCAACAGATCAGCTCTGCTCTGACGACAGCACATCGTGTCATGTCTTACACCCACGACAGACATAGCAGTGAGTCGGCCATCAAATGCCACTTTCCTTACAAACCATTCAATGTATCCATAATTGCCATCATTTTCAGCAACGTTTCGTATCTATAAATAGCTCTCATTGTGAGCACTGGTGTGTAGTCTGTAGTACCGGTGCTGTCATTATGTGCTTTCGTATACCAATTAGCTATAAGAGTAGGCCATTGAATGGTATGATAACTAACGCCCATATCTTCGGCCATAATATAGATGAAAACGACGACTCCATGGCGTCCTCTGTGGCGGGCAGTCCGGGCCGGCTGTCCATCGTGTCGGCCGACTCGGACCAGTTGTGTGTCGTCTGCAACGACGTGTCTTCGGGCAAACACTACGGCGCCGTCACCTGCGAGGGCTGTAAGGGCTTCTTCCGGCGCATCATATGCTTCCAGAATGTGTACACTTGCTCTGGACAGGGACCCGATAAAGACAACTGTCCCATCAGTAACGACAGTTCCCGTCGCAAGTGCTGCAAGAGTTGTCGCTATAAGCGCTGTCTGGCCGTCGGTATGAGGGCTGAGCTCTGCGTCAAGATTGACGGCTACAGGAATGGTCGCAATGACACCGATTCCGATGACTCGATGGATCCGGTGGTCTATGGGCCCGAAGAGTTGAAGGCTTTCCGGATGGAAGTGAACACGTCTTTCAAATATAACATCCATTTGGGCCCAAATGAAGAGTTGATTGTTTGCAATAACAATAAGCAGTCCAATGCTATGCTAATGAATAAACTGAGACTCAGTTTGGAGACAAATGTCCGACAATTCGTGTCTCACATCCAAGTGTTTCGCGAATTGAGTCCAAGACTGCAACAGAAACTGATCGACGGCTCTATGAATGAGTTATTCGTATTGATGATTGTCTCCAATTGGAAACGGTATGGCTTTGTGTGGTATTCCCACACGTATTCATAAATTGAGTTTAAATGACAAAAAATATTTGTATATCTGTTCGACAGTTATAGAGATCTAATTGCAAGCGACGACCTGTACTTCGGTGACCACAGTTTGGACGCAACGTTTCGTTCACTCATAAAGGCATTCAACGAAATGCACGAATGGATGGCTAAGAAGAACCAACTGCTGAGGACTAATGGATACACTCAAGCCATGGCAAAGGACATGACGAGTGCGGCGCTGTGTCTCATGTCTGTAGTGAACAACGCGGGCGACGGCACACAGAGTGACAGACGAGTGGACAGAGTCCGCGACCGAATAGTATTGGCGTATGAGTTGAACGGTGAGGACATAAGCTTCATAATGTCACGAGTCTTGGATTTGTTGACTGAAATGAATACATTGTTTGCGAGAAACAACTATTTCTGTTAAAATATGATTCATTAAAGCGGGTTATTCTCAAAATTAATATAATTTGTGTTCGCAATTAAGTTTCTAAAATAAGTTGACATTATTTTTATTAATTACATAAATATTGTTTCAATTAAATACTGTATTTAAATAGTTTATTTCTTTGTTTTCATTTAAGATTTCTATTTTGCTTAATGTTATAAATAGTATAAATATGTACACAGTTTCATTAGTGGGGTACCAAACACCTCCATTTGTTACACATTTATAATCGCATTTAACTATTATATCAGAATTGAGATATTTTTACCTAACATTTCATTTCGTGTGCTATATAAT